GGACCAGCCATGGCTGGAGTGCCCAGTGTGCCGTAATGCAGGCATGGTGCATGTTGGCTGGACCATGCAGAGCCCAGGGGGTGCCACAAGCTACAATTCAGAGTGACCTGGACAAATTGGAGGATTGGGCCAAAAGAAATCTCATGAAGTTCAGCAAGGACAAGTGCAAAGTCCTGCACTTAGGATGGAAGAATCCCATGCACCGGTGCAGGAATGGGACCAAGAGGCTAAGGAGCAGCTCTGCAGAAAAGGACCTGGGGGTGACAGTGGACAATAATCTGGATATGAGTCAACAGTGTGCCCTCATTGCCAAAGGCTAGTGGCATCCTGGGCTGCATTAGTAGAAGCATTGTCAGCAAATCGAGGGAATTAATTATTCCCCTCTATTCAGCACTAGCGAGGCCACATCTGGAGTCCTGTGTCCAGTTTTGGGCCCCCCGCTGCAGAAAGGATGTGGACAAGTTAGACAGAGTCCAGCAGAGAGCAATGAAAATGGTTAGAGGGCTGAGGCACATGGCTTATGAGAAGAGACTGAGGGACCTGGGCTTATTAGTCTGGAGAAGAGGAGACTGAGGGGGATTTAATAGCAGCCTTCAACTCACGGCAGGGCATTGCAAAAAGGATGGAGCTGGACTGCTCTCAGTGGTGGCAGATGACAGAACAAGGAGCAGTGGGCTCAAGTTGCAGAAAGAGAAGTTGAGGTCAGATATTAGGAAAAACTCTTTCATAAGGAAGGTAATAAAGCACTGGAACAGGCTACCCAGAGAGGTGGTAGCATCTCCATCCCTGGAAGTTTTTAAGACCCAGCTTGACAAAGCCTTGGCTGGGATGATCTAGTTGGCGGTGGCCCCGCTTGGAGCAGGGGGTTTCATAGATTCATAGATGCTAGGGTCGGAAGGGACCTCAATAGATCATCGAGTCCGACCCCCTGCATAGGCAGGGAAGAGTGCTGGGTTTAGATGACCCCAGCTAGATGCCTATCTATGGGGTTGGATGAGATGACTTTCTGAGGTCCTTTCCAACCCTCATTTTCTATGATTCAAGCATCCTCACAGCCCGAGCAGGGAGCCCTCCCAAGACCGGGACAGCAGCAAGCACCACAGGGCAGGACTGCGGTGCGTGGGCAGAGCTGGGCATGCAGGAGTTTGCCCCCGCTAACCCAATGTTGCATCTAGTCACGGTTTCAGGCAGGAGTCTGCCTGCGGGCATCTCAGAGCAGCGCAGTCTTGAGGACGATGCCTCCGAGGTTCCTCCTCCCCATCTCTAGCAGCAGCTCTGATGTACCAGCACCCCAACAAGGCAACTATAGCGTGCCGGTCAGGGGGCTCAGCCTGTCTGCTGCAGACCAGTCAGCCCTGCTCAGATCGGAGAGGACCGACCTCCAACCCAGAGTCCTCTGGGTGACCGTCCAGCCAGAGGCTCCAAGAGGCTGAAAAGATGAGCTGGGCAAGGGAAAGGACAGCATGGGCTGGAAATCTCTCTGGCTCATTCAGATCCCAGGTTGCATTGATCAAATCCTGCTTTGGGGCAACTCCTGGCTCACGAGAGGTTTCCCAAAGCCAAGTCAGGTTCAAACCCCACCAGCCGTGCTGGAGAGAGGAAATCTGCTCGCCACCCTCCCAGCCCCTGCCTGCTTCAAGCTGTTCTCCTGGGTCTGTTCTTTTGCTGAGGCTTCAAGAAGGGACAGGGACATTGATTACAGAGTGATCACAATAGGAGAGGCCTTATCAAAGCCTGCACGGCCTCTTGTCTGCATCCTGATTGCCAGCAGCGATGGCCCAGCTCACGGGGGGGAGCACATTGTGCGAGCACGGGAGCTGCGGTGCGTCACCGCGGGCGCTTTGTCTCCCAGGCCACGTGCTTGCAGGTGCCTTTGTCTTGCCCTGAGCCCAGAGCTATGAATCTGCAGCCACCTCTCTCCTCCTTGGTGGGGGATATGATGACAGGTGAAGCCAGGCCGCATTGAGAAGGCTGGGGAGGAGTGAGAGCGGGGCCAGTGGACTGGCTGGTGGTGGGAGATAGAGGAAAGGGGTCAGGGGCTCTCTTTGTGTGCCCGGGCTCTGAACTCAGGAGATAAGGAGGGTTTTCTAAAGTTTCCCTTTCTGTGGCAACCGCAGGAGGAGGCTGATCCAGACGAAAGAGCTGATGTGCCAGGGCTCGCTGCACTGGCACGGGGTTGCGGTGCCATCAGACTCTCAGCAGGGCACGTTTCAGATGTGCTGAGCTCTGCAAGGCAGGGCTAGGGGCTGCAGGAGAGCTGTGCGTAGGGAGCCCAGTGACAGACTGGCATAGCAGGGAGGATGAAAGGACATCCATACAGCTGGGGGAAGAGGCACGGAGAGCCTAGGACAGCCTGCAGGATGAGTGGGGAGCAGGGGCACAGCCATGCAGTGCCCGGGGCTGCAGCAGAGGATGGGAGCTACCCAGGCCAGGGGCAGGTGTTGGTACAATACCTGGATCAGGTTTGCAGCTGGCATCTTCCTCTTCTCAAAATGCTTCTGCCGATGCTGCTCCTGGACTTTCAGGGCAAACCCAGAGCCCAGGATGCCCTGTGGGGAGAAGGGGCCAGTGTGAAGACCTAGACCAGAACCCACCTGCCAACTCACGGGCAGCCACATCCGCCCCCATGCCCTTGGGGAACATCAATGCCAGCTTCAGTCCTGACCACCCCAAATGGGGAATCGCTCCAATCTGCTGCGTACATCGCTGCCCCCGGGAGCTGGCAGCCCCTTGGAGGTACGGGTTTCAGGTGGTGCCACCCTCATACCAGCCTCCCTGCAATGGCTGGGGGTTGCTGGGCTCCAGGGTGCAGGGCAGAGCCCACTGCTCCTCTGGGGAGGGAGGGAAAGGAGAGACGAGCACAAGGAGGAGCAACGATACCCTGCAGGCAGGATCCCATCGGGGTCTCCCCCCATGGGCCACGGCCCCTTATTTTATAGGGGATGTTTGAGCTTCCTGCTGGATCAGAGCGTAGAGGCCCCGCTCGGAGCCCCATGAGGGTAGCAGCAGCCCCCAGCACTACTCACGGCTGGGAGGGCGAAGAAGGAGATGCCGAGGAGTGCGAAGCAGGCGGCCAGCACCCTGCCCAGCCACGTCTGGGGGGTCTTGTCCCCATAGCCGATGGTGGTCAGCGTGATCTGCGAGGAGGGAGAACACGGGGGCATTGACGGAGCTCTTCTCCCCTTGTCCAGCCCAGCCCCCCTCCAGGCACATCCCTGCCCCCCTGGGGCAGCGGCCCGCTGAAGCTGAACTTACTGTACCCCACCAGAGGGAGTCGGCGTAGGTGGTGAAGTCGGCGTTGGTGTCCTTCTCAGCCAGGTAGACGAGGAAGGAGGCGAAGATGAGGACCAGGAAGCCGATGTACCAGGCTGTGATCAGCTCCTGCCAGGGGGGCAAAAGCCAAGCGGGTCCTGGTGGCCTCCTCCAGCATGCAAGCACTGGGAGCCCTGCAGAGCACCTCTGTCCTGGCAGGGCTGAGCAACTCGGGTTGGGAGTGGGAGAGTTCAAAGACAGGGAGGAGAATCGTGCTTGCAGGCTGGATGTGAAAGAGCTCCATGCCCCGATCTGTCTGCTCAGTACAGGGGAGGGGGTGAGGGGGGTGGGGGTTGCAAAGCAGAGGGGTGATGAGTCAATGCTGTGTGGGGATCCCAAGCATGGGGATGGGGCTGGGGGCAGGACAGGAGGGAGTGACACGGGCAAGAAGGGAGCAGCTCTGCCTTGCGCACCTGCCCTAGATCCAACCTTTCATCCTGGAACACCCCCCGCGTCTCCTGCCCTGCAAACTCACCTTACTGTGGGCATAGACCACGGAGCCCAGGAGCTTCCAGGTGCCGCCACGGCGGTCCATACGCACCATGCGCAGGATCTGCAGGAACCGCATGCTGCGCAGTGCCGACGTGGCGAAGATGTTGCCCTGAGTGCCGGCGGCGATGACGGCCAGTGAGGCAATGAAGACGATGAAGTCTGTAGCCCGGAGCACAGGGTGGTGAGGACAGGGGAGGAAGGCATGGCTGGTGGTTCTGGGAAGGAAGTCTCTGCCCCTTGGGACCTGGTCCCCAATATACACGCCCCCAGGGGGGACACACGCCCTTTCTGCTCGGGGGGTCTCTTTGCTAAGCAGGGCAGGATGGAGCAGCGGGGATCTCTCCCCAGCTCACAGCTGAGGACCACTCCTGAAAGGCAGCAGGTTGCAATTCGGCTAATCCCCAACACCCTCCATTCCCGGTTCTTCCCAACCTTAAGTGGGGGGTCCCTGGGTACATCTGGAGCATCACCGCAGCCATCCCAGCTACAGGGCAGACACAGCACCATGCTCTTGTTGCTTCATGGCTGGGTGTCAGCAACCACGGCTGTGCCACCGTCTCCAGCAGGGAGCAATCGATGCCTCTCCATGGTCACTGCTGGAGGGGCTCCATCCACAGCACCGGGAGCCATGAAGGACACCCTGACCACCCGGACACCCTCCCTGACCATCCTCTGCTTGCAAAGGGGACCTCAGAGGCATCAACCCCGTCTCCACCCTGACGGGACCAGTGTCCCTCCAATGGCATTGACCACAGCCGCAGACACCAGCAGGGCAAACAAGCCCTGCAGTGGGGTTGCCCCCAAATGTCCACAAAGGCCCCTTCCCAAAGCCACTCCTTGAGCCCAAATCAAAAACCCCGGCCCGGCTCTGGGCCACGTTCTCCCAAGGAGGCCAGTGCCTGGCTCCTGAAGGGCTCCAGAGGAGATGAGCTGAACAACCAGGGAAAAGGCTGTCCCCAGACCTCACCCACCAGCACAGCCAGGGTGGAAATGCTTGCATTAGGAGGACCTGCTACAGCCAACCTGGGTGCCCCCCCACTGCAAAACTCCCACCTCCTGGAGGTACCCTGGCCATATACCCCACCCTGACCTCATTCCCTTTTGTCCTCCCTCGCAAGGTGGCAAGGAGATGAGGGCACGAGGAGACTCCATCTGCCCGGTGCTCTGAATACGCCCATCACCGTGGCATTGAGGCTGTTCACAAGAGCCTGGGCCTGGCTGATTGAAGCCTGGTGTCTCTGATAACCAGGGGACAGCAAGTGCCCCCCAGAGAAGTGCAGAGGGAGCCCGCGCCAGCATCTCCCACGCGTACCTATGACGCAGAAGGGTTTCCTGGCGAAGCGGAAGCGGCCCTGCCAGCCCCGGTAGCGGCAGCAGCAGCCGGCCGCCCAGATACGGATGAAGTACTCCATGCCAAACACCACAATCATGACGAACTCCTGGCAGGGGAGAGGAGGAGAAGCAAGTCAAGCGCTTTGGAGGGTGGAGCGAGCAGGGCAGCTGGAAACAGCCCTCGCCACTTGACTCGAGTGTCAAGCGTTGGCCAGGTTCTCGTTTCCGTGCAGCTCCCTGAACGGGGCCCAGGTAACCCCCGTTGAGCAGACACACGTCCACAGACACAGCAGCCGGAAACAGGAGCCCACAGAGGGCAGGGAGGCTTGGGCACCTGCCTTCTAAATATAAAGTCCCTCCCATAAATAATTGATCCCTCTTTGCACCGGGCTGGGCTGAGACACCTGCAGCCAGCACTCCCAGGGAGGAGGAAGGAGCGCACGGGTGCTCGCGGCCCACCGCTGTGCCATTTTCAAGGCAATCCTAGCTGGGACACTCCTGGGACCCTCGTTGGGGCAGGGACAGCTGGAGAGGGGGTGGTTCTCCCCAGGACTCATGTGGACAAGGCAATGAAGGAGCAGGAACAGCCTTTCTCTCTCTACAGCAGGAGAGGATGTGACACCCACTACAAGGTCCATGAATTGAGAACTGAGGCATCCTCTGAAACGGGCATTGTTGTGCAGAAGGGGCACTTGTATCTTGTCTATACACACAGAGACACACACACACTAGACGAACACACATGTGCACATGCACATTAGGTGAACTGGCTTAACTGAAAGCATGGTGTTGTGCCACCCAGACCTGCTTCTACAGGTGGCCAACAGAAATGTGGGCTTTGCTCTCACATCATAAACACGGGCTCAGCCACACTCTCACTTTAAACAAAGAAAAGTCCTTCCAGGTCCAGGTCTCTCTCCCTGCCACGCGTGCATCTATTTGGACAATCCAAGGTGACCAAACCTAAGGACTGTGCTCCAGTATCCAGATGCCAGAATCTGCCTGGTTCGAGGCTTGCACATCGCTGAGAAGGGGCTGCAAAATGCCCATGCTGCCATTGCCTGTAGGAAGCATGTAGTCCCAGCAGCGGTGGGTGGGAGAAGGCTGGTGTAGGGCAGCAGCAGGCTCCTGCACCATCTCACCTGGCTCAGAGCAGGTCTGGATGACACAGGGGGTAAAAGTACCAGCATCCTGTTTATCGGAGCAGCGCTATCATTGCTACCATCCACGCAGCAGAGACGGGAAAGCACGTGCCAATGTAGGCCAGAGCAGGCGCGGTTGTTTCACACATGCCTTTCCAACCAGGCAGCCGCCTCTCCTGCAAACAGCTCTCATGGGCTTTGGTGGCCCAGATCTCCATGTGCCTGGAGATCCAATGACAAACTGCTAAGAAAACTTCCCAACACCTTCTCCTTCAATGGGAAAGTCAAAAAGATGAGCTGGGATCCCTGAATCAGCAGCCTCATCTGAATGGCGCCCATCCCCACCCACCTGAGCCAACTTTAAATATATATGGGTAATTTTCCTCCACTGTCAGCATTGTACCACCTCTCCTCCTACCTTTCACACACAAGCCCCTGTTTTGCTTACTCGTGGGAAAGTCACGAGGACCTTCCCGATTTAGTCTCCATCACTGTTGGGAGAAATCCAGTGTCAGCTGTTTCTGACAGTTTGGGGGAAAGTGGCTTTTTTTAGATTTTTTCCCCCCTCCCTTTTCCAGTTGGGTGTTTTCTTGCCCTTTTTTTTTGCCATCTAGAATAGGTGCAAGTCGACAACAGGTGCCTTACACCAACCCCACCAAAGAGATCTCAAGGGAGATCGTTGCAAGAAACATGATGGTCATCGAGGCAGTCCTCCAAGCAAAGCCCAGCAGCAAGAGCAAAGGCAGCATGACTTAATGGTTACCCTTAAGGAGCTTGGAGGATTGGGACACCTGGGTTCTCTGTCCAAGTCATCCAGGCACTTCAGCTGTCATTTATAACAGCTAAATGAGCTAAACTAACAGTTAAAAGCCAGGTTACAAGTGATCTTGGAAGGGCATCCACACTTAAGGGGTAGAGATTGAGCACCATGTCTTCAGTTAAGCTGGTCTGCCTACTGTGCATGTGCATGTGTGTGTTCACCGAGTGTGTGTGTATCTGTGCATGCAGACAAGATATAAGTGCCCCTTCTGCACAACAATACCCATTTCAGAGAATGCCTCAGTTCTCAATTCATGAACCTTTTAGTGGATTTCTCTGAGTAGGACTTTGATGCTGGAGACTCCCCCAGGTTGTCCTGGCTCTGGGTCTAACTGGGGGGAAATCATGTTCTACTTGGGCAAATGGAAGATGAGCACAGATCTCTAATGAACTTACCAAGATGAACAGGCATTCGTTGGCGAATTTCTGATGCTCCTGGATGGTAGAGAAGACGGACAGCACCAAACAACTGAACACAAGGACGAATCTGAAACAGCAAATAAACCAAAAAGATTAGCAGACTTTGATTCATCCGTGCCTTCCTACAAGGCACCTGTCCACCCGAGCCCTGCCATGCACCTAGGAGACCCCCCCACCACTGTGCCTACAGTAGGTGACAACTCCCCAGCATCAGAAACAGCCAAACCTTGGACTGCTTAAAAGTTCACTCTGCAACAACTGGTCATTTGTGATGGGAAGGAGAGTGGACGTGGAGAAGGAAGGGGTAGTCTGAGCATAAAGGCAGAGTACAAACAGCCCCATCTTGTCAAATCCAACCTCATGAGATACCTGCAAGGTGAATGCCCGGCTGGTACAAGCAACCGCATGTTACCAAAATCCAGTTGGATGCAAGATCAAGGGCTGAAGGGAACCCCTGAATTAGATCAAGGAGAGCTGACACACTCTTTAACTGCTAGCATTGAACAGTAAGAGTGACCGCTGCTAACAGCACAGCCTTTGGAGAACAGCAGGGGCAAAAGCCATGGCACAATAATCAAAATGACCACACCACTTCATCCTGCCTTGATATGACTGGCATCACAGAGATCAAGAGGCCTTTGCCTTCTGCCTTTTCATCTCCGACATAGGGCAGCTTAACTGCCCCTTCTCTCCCAGAAATGAGATGCTGGAACAAAGCTGTCCAGTGTAAGCTCCAGAGCTACCCGTGCCCCACTCAGCAAGGAGAAAGGGACAGGCTTAACAAAGGATTGGGAAGAGGACAATCGCAGCTTCGCTTCTTCCTTTTAGGGTTGGGAGGGTGGCAGTCCAACTCCAAATGGCGGGACACCTACACGATAAGCTCCAGAGACAGACACCAGCATTATGTCCACGACTGGTGCTCCTGGATACGACTGCAATAGACTGATATCACAATCACTTGAGCAGGAGGATGTTACATCTGCCACAGATAAACAGGGAATGGGCCCCTAGGAGGCTTCGCAACCCTGTGGCTTCAGTGGGGTTCAACAAGGTCCGGAGTGAAACTTGCTCATGTCTGAGCCAAACACCATCCAACTATTTTGGAAGTGGGCTGGTGCTGCAGTGGCCAACCGGCACCCCTAGATGGCAGCAGAAAGAAGTGCAGGAGCACCGGAGCCAGTGGGCACCGAGTGCCCGGGGTGGCGGGAGAGGGAGCTGCGATGGTCGGTCATATGGGGAGAGGTTGGAGTCTTCTCGTTTCAGGAGGGCTAAGAGAGAGCCCACGAGATGGCTCAGGAAGGGGGCACCACCTAGCAGATGTTGCCAGCATGCTGCTGGGCAGCAAGGACTCTCCATATCTGGGTCCAGCCGGACTTTTTCCCTTGATCATTCTGCGTGGATCACAGGGACGGGACAAGCCCACCGAGCTTGAGTCGAGGGCGGGTTGGGAATAGGACCTGGCACAAGGCATGGCCTTTCTCTTGCTGCCCACCTGAGGACCCAGCAGCGAAAAGCCTTAAAGCCCATTACCAACCATCCCCGCTCACTTCCTCTCAAATGACTCATTAGAAAAGACAGTGTCCCTTCCCGCAGATGCCTGATATTCACTCCTTATGGAGCTTCCCAGACACGGCACAGCTTGCTGGCATTGCAGCATTAAAGACAGGTGCTTTAATAAGCGATCCAGTGAAGCCATTTCTGAGGAGCCTGGAGGGGTTGGGTGAGGGAGGTCTTCGCCACCAACTGGATGACGACCCCCAGATCTTTTCAGATGGGGGTCATGCCATCCTCCCTGCATGAAACTGCCCCTGGGAGCATCAGAGGGTGGAATTTGCCCCCGCTACGCCCCAAGGCCCTGGTGCCACAGCCACAGCACTCCCATCCCAGCAACACTTCCCTATCCTATAGCCACTTCTCCCCTTCTAGTGGGCAGCGCTGTATTAATTAACACACACCTATTACCGTTGCCACCAGGGAGCCATGCTTTGACCAACATGGGTAGGGAAACCCGGCTCAGAGGCCACATTCAGACCCGTTATCAGTGTCGAGGTCCCTGGTTTTTCACCGCCTGCCAGCCATGGGAGGGCCAGAAATGCAGCACAAGCTTGAGAATCAAAGCGGCACAAGCCTGTGGTTTCTCCGCCCTGGCGACGCACCCGAGCTTTTGCTTTCTCTGTAGTTTCCTCGGAGGTCTAGGCAGAACGGCCTGAGCTCTGCGGGGAGAGTCTCTGGTTGCTTCCCCGAAGCCCAGCGCTCCAGCCAGGGGCGCCTTGCTCCAGACCTCAACCTCACAGCCTGCCCGGGGAGGCAGAAGGGTAGTGTCTGCAGAAGGGAGAGGTTGCCCCTAAGCCCCAAAAACAGGCTCTTGTTCTAACCCTCACAACCACAATCGCTCCTTCCCCAGATCTGGGGAAAAAACCCAGGCGTCCAAACTCCCAGCCCCTTTCTCTAAGTCCTGTGCTGTTCCCAAACCTGGGAAGCGAACTCAGGAGTCCCGAGTGTTGCTAGACTTGACTCTCGGCTGTAAGCTCGGATCGGCTGATGTTGGGCACAAGAGACACCGATCCCTGGGGCTCCGAGCTCCTTGCAGGAGGGTCCGTGGTGCCCCTCCTCGCCCGCTCCTAGGACAGCCCGACGTGAACAGCCGAGGCAGCGCCGCACTCGCTGCTCCCGGCAGCTGCTGCAGAAAGTGCTGAGCGCAGGCATGGAAATTAAACCAGCCTGTGATCCCCTGGCTTTGGAGAACTCTCTGAGCTGGGCCAGAGCTTTCAATATTTAATAACGAGGAGCATTGGCAACGTCCCCCTGGGAGGCCCGTGGGAATGCGGCTGCAACACGCTCCTCAACTCCGGCGCTGGGCAAGCAATGGAGCCGGGCAGGGCAGGGCAGGGCAGGGCAGGGCAGGAAGGGTGAAAATGGGGTGAGCATGGGGGAAGCTGAACTGGCTGCAGCCCTGTCTGTCCTCCTCCTCCAGCCACTTTCCCTGCAAGATCTCCAAGGCCCTCCTGACCCTCAGGGAAGTTACCCGCAGGCTTCGCAAGCCAAGGGAACGACAGCCCTGGCCTCTGCGTTTGCAGACGCTGCTCCTTGCAGAGAACCACCGTGCTCAGCACAGGTTCACAGCACCAGGCACTCGCCCTCCCCAAACCCTCGCTCTTCTCCAGCACCCGTCTGGGACTCAGCCAGGCCTCAAGCCTGTGGTTTCCACCCAGGGTGCCACACAGCACCGCGTTCAGACTGCTGCGGTCTGAGGTCTTTGCAAGAGAATTGCTTTGTTATTTTTCCGTAGTCGAGAAACGAGTGCAAGTGAAGAGCTGGCATCTTCTGGAGGTGGGGGGCTGGAGTTTAAGGAGGTTGAGCAAACTGCACAGAAAAACTTTTTTAGTTCTCTCCCCCCGTAAACCGCTCAATGCCCAACCAGGTCCAGCCACAGCTGCATCCCGAAGCGCTGGGATTCAATCGCGCCCCTCTCCCCTGCACAGACAGCCCCACCGATTGTAAGACAGGCAGCAACCCAAGTGGAAAACTCCAGCGGGTTTTCAAAGCACCGACCTAGGGAAGGGGTGATGCAGCCCCAGTGGGGAGTAATATCCCTCCTCTCGGTTCCTGACTTGGCTTCAGGAGACTCTTCCAGAAGGGCACGAAGGTGAGCGCAGCCTCCGGTGATAAATCCCACCCCGTCCCCACTGCGCCTGTAAGTCGCTTGGCACTGCCAGGCTCCTAGAAGGCACGGGGCACTTTTCCTCTCTGGGAAAGGCAGACTTAAGACGGGGTTTATTGCCTTGAGTTACGGCTCTTGGAGGCGAGTCAGACAGCAGGTTTTAAAAAGGGATGAGACAGAGAAAGAGAGAGCAAGCAAGCCTGGCTCTGGGCAGGGAGGTCAGAAGCTCCTCTCTGGCTCCGGGGTCCTGGTGCCCAATATGCCACCCCTACTAGTGTTAGAGGTGCACGCACCCCAGCTGGGACCCGGTGCCTAAACCTCCCCAGGCTCTGAGCTCTGGGAACCTCTCCCCCCACCAGCTCTGTGCTCTCAGGCTCAGCTAAAGGCATGAATAAAGAGCGCAGGAGGCCGAGGAGGGGGTGCTAGGGGAGCCCCATGATCCCATGTGCACTGGGGTGAGCCTGAAGAGCAGAACCCCCTCTTTACTGATGCCAGCTGATTTTTCTCAATGGCCTACATGGTGCGGGGAGGAGAGGAGACACCGCCTGCCCCCTACCCCTGCCTTCCCAGCCCCTTTGTAGGGGCACAGAGCGGCTCAGCAGCACATCCCCACGTGTCCTGAGCGTCGAGGCGGGGAGCGAGCAGCCAGCCTCCGCGCCTCTCTCTGACAACACAAGTCAAGCCTGTGCGTCAAGCCGAGCTGCCCTAACCTTATTTTGTCCGTTTCCCTTCCCCGGCGCACATCAGATGGCGCCTAATGGGGACTGGAGATGCCCGGCGGCAAAGCCCCAGCTCTCCTCCCCTCCATGCCCGCGGGCGCCGCTGGAGAGAAATGTTTAATAGTAATAATAGAAAGGGAAGAGAAGCATTAACGGGATCTAAACTCTCCCATGCCAATGCAAGATGATTCCCTACAGGCTAGTTACGCGGCCCCTGCAGCATGTTCCCATGCAAATGTCCTCGCTAATGAAACCAGGGGAAGAGACAGAAACCCCAGAACAAACAAACAGAGCCGGGGCTGGGGAGAGGTTTCGCACGGGGCTTGAAAAGCTTCCCCCTCCCCACCCCACCCGCCCACCCT